AGAGGAAGGTGAGGGAGAAAGGGGGAACCGATTACAAAGGTCTTCATATAACCTCCTCCCTGGTGGATGAACAACGGTAAAGGGAGACGTCGGACAGTTTAAGACATGACAAAATAGTTTATAAATTATCAAGGGTTCGGGAGGGAGTGGGAGGGCCAGGGAGAGGGTAAAAAATGAGCTGATACCAAGGGCTCAAGTAGAAAGCAAATGTTTTGAGAATGATGATGGCAACAAATGTACTTGACAAATGGATTTATGTATGGATTTTGAAAAGAGTTGTAAAAATATTTTTTCAATTTAAAAAGTTTTATTTTGGAAAAAGAAATTTTTAAGATAAAATTTCACTTTGTCATTAGAAATAAATATTTGACAATATATAATTACATATTTTGTGATGAATCACTATGCTTTAATTATGTTCAGTTTGTAACAATGAAAATATATCCTGCCTATCAGATATTTTACATTACAATTCGTAACAGCAAAATTACAGTTATTAAGTAGCAACGGAAATAATTTTATGGTTGGGGGGTCACCACAACACGAGGAACTGTATGAAAAAGGGTGGTGGCATGAGGAAGGTTGAGAACCACTGCTCTAAAGACTGAAGAAAAGTATAACCCAATGTTGTATTATTTTTAGTGAGTCCTCACATGAGCATTAACAGCGTTCATCAAAATGTGAACATGAAGAAAAGTATGAGAAATAAAAATTTAATACTATAAAAAACAAGCCAGCAAAAACACCTAATTTGCAGTGTAAACTTACACCTTAAGCACAATCGTGTATATTTTTTATTTTATTAATTTTTTTATAATGTGTTCTTTAAGTAGGTAAAGGTAGGTGATACTCTCACCTTTAAGTGTCTGGTGGATGCCTTAGGTCACTTGGACCACCCAGCTCCACTATCCCCATCTTCCCGCCAGCTCCATCCACAGTTGCTCTCCTTATAGATCAAAAAGACCAAATCCCGCCCCTCCCTCCAGCCCCGCCTCTTAAAAGGCGAAGTCCCTCCCCCGGCCCCTTAGGCCCCGCCCCCAGCCTCCAGAACGGCGATCTCGGCGGCGCCGTTTCCATGACGACACAGCTCCTGGCCTGGGCGACTGCACTGCTGTGCCGCGGTGGCGGCAGCGCCTGTATGAGCCGGGCAGGGACTGCGGCTGGGCCGCGGCCCACCAGCTCGGGGGTCTCTAGCACCCGGCTCGCGACGCGCGCCCGCCCGCGCCCGCCCCCGGTCCCGGGCGGTGCGGTCTCAGCGCAGCAAAGCCAGCACCAGGGGCTGGACGCGGCGCAGAAGCGGGTCCTGGACCTGGAGAAGAGCCTGCAATTCCTGCAGCAGCAGCACTCGGAGACGCTGTACAAGCTCCACGAGGAGATCGACCACCTGAAGCGGGAGAACAAGGGTGAGTGCCGAGCTCCGAAACGGCTGGGGCTGAGGGTGGATACGGGGCCGGCTGGCAAGCCCTACCTACCCTGGTCCTGCCAACAGGCTCCAGAAACGTCACTCGTGATGGGCAGGGTCCCCAACCCCCTTGCCTACCCACTGGGCCGGTTCTAATGAGCTTCATCCCCGGGAAATCTCTTCATCAGCCTCCTCCCTAGGCCTGAGCCAGGGCCACCTGCTTTCCCACCACTTTTTTTATAGAAGTAAGACATTAACAGCCTGCTACAATTTAACAAACTAAGTAACCCCGGGGGACTCCCATGCCAGCACACAGCCCACCCTGACAGTACGCTTTATGCAGTTCTTCACGGACTCCTGTCTGCCTTAGACACTCCAGGGGTAAGCGGGGTAAGCATTGAGCTGCTATCCACGAGGTCAGAAATTCAAGCTCATCGGCTGGTTTACTGGACAAAGAGGAGGGGTTCCACCCCTGTAAAGATATACAGCCTCGAAACTCCCCACCTCCTTCTCCAGCAGCTCTATTCTGCCCTGTTATGTGGTCCCCAGTCGGAGTCGGGACTGACCCCTGGTGGTGCAGCGGCTTAAGCGCTTTACGATCCGCAAGGAGCACGAGAAGGCTGGCTGTTCCCATGAAGGTTTCCCCAAACCTTTGCCATCCTGTCAAGTCAAACCTTCCAGAGGGCCAGGTTTCCAGGGGTGGGGCTGCCCGAGGCAAGAGCTTGCTTTGTGGGCACTGGTGGGAATCGCTGGGCCAGACCCGTTGACCTGGGGCCTGAGCCAGAATAGGAAGGCTCAGCAGGGATGGAGGGGTGGAGCGGAGGTGGCCAGAGCCTGGGGAGTAAGCCAGCTTCCTCAAATGGCTGTGGCTTCAAAAACGACACAGGGGACATGTACTTTGTTTCAGATCTCCACTACAAGCTGATTATGAATCAGAAGCCACCCAAAAAAGGTAAGAGTGTCTGCCCTGGCAAGTGGGCCCCTGAGGACCGCTGTGTCCACCCAGCTGCTCACATGCAGGACTGCTGCTCTTAAGGTGCCCAAGACCTTGGGCAGAGCAGTGGGGAGGGTTTGCTTGGGTTGCTGTTGGGGCCAGGGTCAGCTTCTGCTCACATACCCTCAGAGAGGCAGCTCTGGGCACAGCCCCCCATGGAAGGGCTCAGGCATCCCACAGCAGCTGTGGGCCCTGGAGTGGGGGGCTGGGGGGATGCTAGGAGTGAGCCCTGTACTGCTGGGCTGGCCCCAGTGCGTGACAGTGGCTTCGCCTCATCAGTCCCACTGGCCAGCCCAGGGCTTGCCTGCCACCTGAATAGTGCCGGTCCAGAGAGATGCCCCAGCTGGGGTGGGTGGGGCCCCGGGTTGACCCTTTTCAAATGGACACATGAGCAGACTGGGAGGGTGTCCTCCAACAAGCTGTCCAGAGCAAGGACTGCCCTCATGTCCAGCCCTGGCTGTCAGAGTCCACAGGAGACAGGTCATGGTGGTGTGTGTGATGGTTATGCATTAGGCTGCTAACCACAAGGTCAGCAGTCTGAAACCACCAGTGAGCTCCTCAGGAGACAGAGTAGGTTTTCTATGCCTGTAAACAGTTACAGTCTCCGAAACTCAACTGAACTACAGGGTTTTGCCATTAGTCAGAATTGACGCAATTGCAGAGTTCCCACCCCACGCCATCCCAGGTGCCATGCTGGGGTGGGGCCAGGTCAAAGGGCAGGGGCTGTGTCAGAGGGGGCAGGCAAATGTGGGCAGGGCCTCGTTGCCACCAGGGCTCACAACCGCCTTCTCCCCACAGGCAGCTTGTCCACGTGCAGCATGCAGTCCAAGTCCATCTCCAATTCGACAGTGTCGGGTAGGGAGTCCTAGCGGGGTCCTCAAGAAGCGCCCCTCTCTGCTGGCGGTGGGTTGAAGGAATGGAGGTGGGCAGCACAGCCCGGCGGGGGCAAGAGTCTTTGAGTTAGGGCTGCGCTCATTCAAAGCCTGTGCTGGTTGTCCACTTGAGGGTCACCAGCAGGAGGCATGACGGGCCTGCACAGGACTGAAACGCAGGGCCCTGCCACCTTCTCCCCACCTACATCCCCTCAAACACACACAGAGGCAGCATGCAGACAGTGGAACAAGGGCTGTGTCTTCTTCAGCGATTGGGTCTCTTCTCACCACCCCCTCCCAGGGAGAAGGCCCCAGTCTTCCACACAGGCCCCATCCCAGACAGACCTCTCTCTTGCATTTTGACCAGCCAGGGGGGCAGCTTGTGTGGCAGTCCCCACCCCTTGCCCAGGGGATGGGCACTGCCCAGACCTATAGACTCTGCCCACCACAGGAAGCCCTGACTGACAAGGAAACTGAGGCAGGAGGCAGGCAAAGTCAGACCTCTCATGGCCATCTCTGCTGGGTCTGACCTGCAGGCATCTCTCAAGGCAAAGCCAAGGGCCTGTCCAGCTCCAAGAGGCACGATTCCAAAGCCGAAGCCCCCCAGAAGCGCTCCTTGGAGGAGGAACCCCCGAGCCTGAGCCTTCTGCACAAGCAGGGGCAGGAGGCCCAGGGCCAGGCCAGGTAAGGCAACGGCACCCTGGGCCACACCCTGGGTTTGCCCTGCTACAGGTGTGGGCAGGCTGGCAGCCATCCGGCCTGCTCTGCTGCCCTTGGCAGGGGGGATGCACCTGAGGCCAGCAGAGCCCCTTGCAACCCTCTTCTCAGAGAAAGTTAAAATGACTCCCCTGACCCCCAGGTTCCTGTTTAGAGGACAGTGACCCAGCCCAAGCAGCAGTGGTAAGGCCCACGGCCTGCCTCTGGCCTTGGAAAGCCCTGAGCCTGAGGGCCAGCCAGCATTTATTTATTGTTTTCATCTTGGTATTTCAGAATGTGTCCCTTAGGTGGCCTGAGCAATGCACAGCGCCCTTAGGTTCTCCACTAGGCTTACCACCTCCTCCCTGCACATTTGACCCGTGGAGAGGTGGCAGAGTCAGGCCCAGGTCACAGCTGGCCTGAGCCCCACCTGGTGCCCAGAGCACACTGGTTAGTTGGGGGCTGTGGGTGCCATCCATCCCCAAGGCCCCTGCTGGAACGACTGTTTCAGAGACGAAGACTCAGAAGCCTATAGTGTGGGAGCCATTCCCTGGGGGAGCAGCCAACCCAAGGGCCGGCTGGCCGCCTTTCCTCCAAGCCTGCCCCCACACATGCGCAAGCCCACCACTGTGCAGCAGTGCGAGGTGGTCATCCGCCAGCTGTGGAATGCCAACGTCCTCCAAGCCCAAGAGGTGAGGCAATGGGTTCTGGGGTAGGCAGCGGCCCCCCCCGCAGGTCTCACACTCCCCTCCTGCTCTGCAGCTGCAGCATCTCAAGGCCCTGCTGGACGGAAGCCAGCAGTCCCAGGCGGCCCTCCAGGAGCCAGGGCCCAGCTTGCCCAAGTGAGTGTCCCTTGCCTAGCCCACCCCTCCCCACTAGCCTGACAGGGGCTCATGGCCCACTATCTCCTCCCCCAGGGACCAGGAGGTCACGCAGTTCCCCAAGGTCACAGCCAAGGGGCTCTCTAAGAAATGGTGAGTCCCTGTTTGTGAGGGTCAGGGGGGCAGCGAGGCTCTGGCAGGACTGGCCTGGCAGCACTCCTCCTCTGCCCTCAGCCTGATCCTGAGCCCAGGGCCCATGGACAGAGCCATCCTGCCTGCCCTGAAGCAAAGCCTCAAGAGCAACTTCACCGAGCGCCAGAAGCGCCTGCAAGTGGTGCAGAACCGCCGCCTGCACCGCTCGGTGCTCTGACCCAGGCAGCCAGGGAACCCCGCTCCACACCCCACCCCCACCCCCACCCCGGACTTCCAGGCCAGCTGGATTCCTAGAGATGACTCTCGGTGGATAAAGTACTAGACCTCACTGAGAATTCCCTTTATTTTCTTGCTCAGATTTAACGGTCCCTCGTAGTCACAGAAGCACAGTAAGATAGGATGGAAATTAAACCTTGTTTCTTTAACTCATTCACCTCCTTGGTCGGCTTCCCTGGCTCTGTAGGAAGTCGTCCAGCACGCCCTGCCTGTCCTCAGGGTTCCCTGGCATTCATAAGGAGATGTGCAGGCCAGCACACTCTCACTTGTCCACTTGAACGCTATGCTGACTCATGGCGCCGGCGCAGAAGTAATGAATTTATTGTAAGAACCACGGAGGACGTAGTAGCGCACATACAAAAGGTGGGCTGTTCCTATGTCCAGGCAGGCGGGCCAGCTAGCTGGCCAGCACTGGCTCCACCCCATGTTGCACTCAGCCGCAGGGCATGTCATCGTCCTCCTCCATCCAGCTTGGGAGCCTGGGCCCCACTCAGAGGCCCCGGGTGCCCCTGCTGCTCCAAGTTGCGCGGGGGTGAGGTGGGCGGTAAACAGGTCCAGAGCGAGGTCAGGCCTCTCCCTCAAGGTGGAGCCTGCTCCCCAGGATCCACACCTGGAGCTGGGAGCAGAGCTCTGTGGGGAAGGACTTCCTATGTTCTTCCTCTGCGTCCTGTGGCGGCAGGGGGCACGCTCAACGCGACCCTGAGTTCTGTGCTGAGAGGAGGTGAGGCTGTGGCTGGAACCAACCGAGCGAGGGAGGGGTGGCTGAGCTGCGCCAGACAGAGGACAGCCAGCCCCTCCCCTGCTCGGACGGCTCCATAGCCACTAGGTGGAGTGTAGGTTAAGGTCTGGTTGGTCCCAAGGCAGAAGATAAAAGCAGGAAAGCTAACCTAACCCAGGCTCTCTAAGGAGCCAAGATCTAGAAATGTCCAGCATGGGCCCAGGGAGTCACCAGCAGTCTTGGCAGGAGGCCGGCGGGCCTGGGAGCAACTAGGCGGCCGAGAGGCAGGCCTGGTGAACGCTCTGTGCCCAGGTGTGGAGCAGGGCTGTGACGGAGTGCTTGTCCGGGAGCTGCAGCAGGCGTGAGGTCATGCACCGGTGCACTGACTGCAGGAAGGGGTTGGCGTCTGTAAGAGAGCCAGGGGTGTGAGTGTGGTGAGGGCCTCTCCTTGGGGCCCCCAGCAGATAGCTCGGCACTGGCAGCCAGCAGTGAGAAATGTGGGCCTGGACCTGGCTCTGTACTCCAGTAAAGAGCCAGTCTCAGGAACCCACGGGGCTGCTCTGAGTCAGTACCAACTCGATGGCAATGAGTTTGGTTTTATGGAACAGCCAGGGAAGGTGCCCAGCACCAGCTGCAAGGCCGGGTTAGAACCCACCAGCTGCTCTGAGGGAGAAAGATGAGGCTACTTGTCCCGTCAAGACGGACAGCCTCAAACGTTAAGAGTTACTCCCAAGTGAGTCAGAATCGACTCAGGGCCAGGAGGCCCCCGTTGAGCCAGCTCTAAGTCTCAGGGAACCGAGCCCATCACCCAATGGGCCCCATGAGCCCACACTCTCACAGGCAGAAGCCATGTGTGCACATTAGAAAGCACAGCAGCCCTGGAGCAGGCGGACCTGTCCCCAGGCTATGGCTCCCCGGTCCCTTTACCGCTCCCCCCACCTAGCCTCTGGAATTCAGTATAGGGCAGAGGGACATGTAGGGGCTCCCAGGCCCCATCCTCGCCCCAGACCCACCGTATTGCCACTGTTGGTCCACCCAGAGTGGGCTCTGGGCAGGGTAGTCGGCGGGGACACTGAGCTCCAGGGGTGGCACACTCGGGAGGTCCTTGTCGTCTGCAACACACCACATTGCCCGTGGGCCTGAGAGGGAGAAACCCCTCGGGAACCCACCTCCACCCCACCCTGGAGGTGCCCAGCAGGGAGCCCTGAGCAGAGGAGCGGGGTGGGCTGGCTGCCAGCCACGGTCCTCACCCAGCCTGCACACCAGGTGGACGGTGCCGTTGTTGCTGCAGAGAGAAGGGTCCAGATTCACCAGGAACTTGGGGTCCAGCCGGGCCACCTCGCCCTGGAGCACATTGGGAATGCTCTGCCGCTCATCCTCCTCAAACTTGCGTTTGCGGGTGCACACCGCAGGGACCCTGAAGGGACCGTGTGGTGAGCACGGGATGGGGGGTCAGGGCGGTGCCCCCCCCCCGCCACAGGCCATACGTACGTGATGGGGGGGCCGTGGATGGCTGCCATGGGCGGCATGAACGTGCGGTACAGGGAATGGTTGAAGACGGGCGAGCGGATGTTGGCCAGCACAGCATCCAGGAGGGGCTGGCACAGGTACTGTTGCTTGGTCGGCGGCACCGGGGGTGGTGGGGGTGTGGGCTAAGGACAGGGTGGGCGTGTCAGGAGGCTCACAGTACCTCAGGAACCCGGCCTAGGCCCTAGGTCTCATTCTCACCCACAAAGCTCGGGCCATGCCTCCACGGCCCCCTGTGGCATACCAGGCCCCATGGCCCCTGACCTGGGTCTATCACAGGCGGGCACTCACCACGGCCATGTCATTCTTGAGCTTCTCCAGGGCGATTTCGCACTTCTGCAGTGTCTTCAGGGGACACCTGTGGGGGAGGTCAGAAGGAGCTGGTGAGCAGGTAGCCAGGAGACCCCGCTCAGGAGACTCCAAGTCTACATAAGGGAGCTCCCCTCCCAAAGCTGACCTTGGTGGTCAGCAGCCTGGCAGTGGAGAGGTCAGAGAAGAGGGCCAGGCAGGCTCTCCGACTTCCCCTGGTCCCAGATGCCCCCAAGTTATCCCTCCGTTCTGCCCAGATTAGCAGAAGAAGAAGAACCTTCTCCAAGAGGCATGCAGCCTGAGCAAGGTTAAGCCAAAGACAACCCTGCCCAGCCTGTAGTGCCAGTCACACAGTGGCCTACTCAAAGTCCTAGAAGGGGACACAGGCTGGGGACACGGGGGAGGGGTGTGGAGACCAGGACGCTGCTGTGTTCCAGGAACTTCATCTCACAGGCCCCCTCTCGGGCTGAGACTCAGCAATATGGACTCGTTCTTGTGTTCACGGTCACCGGACAGACTGGAAGGCTAAGAGCCAGCACCCATCCCAAACACCCACGGCCTGGATTCCATTCTGGCTCACAGGGGAGAGCTGAGCGGTTCCCGCAGCTTTCTGAAGCCCTGGCCTACCTTTCGCCTGCAGCGTGGCTGGTGTGTTTGAACCACTGGCCCTGTGGCTAACAGCCAGTGCTGAACCCACTGACCCACCAGACCCCCAGAGGGACGGTAAGAGGGCAAGGTGGCCCCAGGCAGATCTGGTGAGGACTGCAGCCGAGGGGTGAGGGGTCAAAGGGGCTGATGCCGCCTTGGCAGACGTATGTGCTCACGGAGGCCCTGCCAGGGAGCTGCCCCGACCAAGCCACTGACCTCAGCAAGGGGGTCCTCCTCCTTGAGTACGGCTGGTCACCCAGGGAGCCAGGGGCCACCATGCCCTCAGGGACCCACCACAAATGGGTGCCAAGCTCACCGCTTAGAGGGGTCTGTCAGGATGTCCAGGAGGCTCTTCATCTTACTCAGGTCCTTTTTCCTGTCTGGGACAGAGAAGGAATGCTTGGATGCCGGCCTGGGCCAGTGGCCCCCCAGCCCGGCCCTGGCCCTGGCCGCACCTTCGTTCTTGTCGATCTTGTTGATCATGCGCCGCAGTGGCTCAATGTACTTGGAGAGCTGCTTCAGTTTGTCCAGGTACTGCTGTTCCTCGGCCTGGCTGGAGCCGGCCGGACTCATAACGGAGCTGGGGTTCACTGACAGGACACAGCGGTGAGCGGAGGTGGAGGCCGGCCCCCCTCCCAGCTCCACCACCTGCAGAGGCCCCCTGCCTGACTTACCTGGGGTATTCAGAGGCCCAGGGGAAGGGACGCTGAAGTTCTGAGGGGTGCGTGCGGTGACGGGACTCTGAGAAGGCTGAGGGGATGGGCTGGGCAGGAAACTGCTGGGGGACGGGGCAGGGCCGGAGCTGTGGCAAAGGAGGAGGCACATTGGAGGGGGCCAGGCCAGGCCAGTGCTCCCCAAGGGGGTGAGGGTGGTGCCCAGCCTACCTGACGTTGGAGTTGGGCTGAGAGCCCGGCTGACCAGGCTGTGGAGAGGGCTGGGGCGGCGGGGGCATCGACTGTGGAGTCGGTACCTGCTGGCCAGGCGATGGCGAGGACAGCATGGGGAGGCCACTCTGGCTGACCTGGGAGTAGAGGGAAGCCTCAGCCTTGAATGTGGATACTTCCACCCCTCCCTGCCCACTCACCCGATGCTGTGCCCCCACACGTACATACAGCTCATGCCCATCACCCCAAGGAGAGGCAAGAACAGCCAACCCCCACAGTTTGTGTCCCTCAGCCTATTTCCCCATCTGTCCGGCCCACACGGAGGGGCTGGCCCAGAGAAGGCCTGGACTCATCAGAAGCAGGCATCTTACAGTAGGCAGGACCATCTTCCTGAATGGTCCTAACCAAGGACAAGACTGGCGTGGAGGCCCATCAGCCTCTGGCCCTGCTAACCTGACCCGCAGGGCCCACAGGGAACCATGCAGACGGCACACACACAGGTAGTGGTGTCAGCCCTCAGCAGCTCACCAGGCCAGACCTCTCCATCTGCACAGGAGGGGCTGCTCAGTCCCCACAGTGCCTGGAGGTGAGGCATGGGCACCTGGCAGCACGAAGGGCACCACGACACCTGGTTTGGGGGTCCTAGGCCAGCACGTCCTGGCTGGTGCGTGAAATCTTCACACCTGAGGGTAGGGCGCTAGGCCTGAGGAGAGATCTGCCAGTCTGTACAGGGCCCTCTCCTCACCCTCACTGCCGTGGGCCCCAGGGACACCACCACACTCATCCCCCATCTTCCTGCCACCTTCTAGGGAGGGCCGTGTCACACTCTCAACAGAGTGGCAGTCTTGCTTCCAGAAACCAGGATCAAAGGGATACCAGGTCATGTCCACCCTGGGCCTGCCGGCCTCTCTCAAGTTCCCAATGACTTGGCAACCTGCTGCATCTGTCCCCTTTTCGACCCCCTCCACGTGGGGACTCTACTGGGGGGCATCCATTAGCCTTCTTGAATGACAGCTCCCAGAGGGGATCTAATGGCAATGACTGAAGGTCCCTGCAGCACTATAGTACCTGGTCACCATCCCTGGGCCTGGGAAGCAGCTTACGGGATTCTGGTGGGAACCTACCAACCAATCAAGGTTGCCCTTTCATTTCCCAGAAGAGAAAACAAGACCTAGAAAGGCCGCAGGGTGCTGGGTCCCTGAAACCACCAGGTCCTGTACCTGACATGCCAAAGGGCGGAAGGAGCAGGGGGACGCCCAGTCAGCTCTGTCACAGGAGAGCGCTGGCCCAGGGGGGTGGGGGGCTTGGCCAGGCCTTGGCAGCCCAGAGCAAGGGCAAGAGGGCTGACCCGCTGAGGGTCTTCTGAGGGCAGTCACAGCACCTTGTTCACATGGCTCCACCGTCCCCACATGGAGGGCCAGGCAGCAG